CGAAGACAAGTTTAAGTCAACTTTGTTCGAAAGTTGTTTCTCTATGCTGCTTTTAAAAATTATCCCGGAGAAAGGTCTTTTTGATAAAAAGGGTGAAGAATTGCTACAAGTGGACAGAAACGCCTGTACTCTTTAGCCGTGGTTCAAATTGAAAATTTGAAGAAAGTCTATTATACCAAAAATTTTTTAGTTTTTGGTATAATTCAGTAATATTTATTAAGTATGCTATATAAAAAAAGGCTGTGGAACTACGATTTTTTTTCTTCTAGGTGACAGGTAAGGGGTTGGAGAGGCCATATCTTTTGTTTTGCTGAGGGACCAGGATAACCTTAAGACGGGCCTGATCATCCAATATTCTAATATCTTTATTCTAAATATATTACTGATTTAATTAGTTCTATAAATAATTTAGTTTTGTCCATTTTTAAAAAGTAAAAATCTAAAAAAGAACAACTAGATAAAAAATCTCGGACCCTGTTGTAGCATCTTCCAATATTTTCCTCCCAAAAGTATGTAAACATAAAAAGTTGGCATAAAGTATAATAGCTGGAAGCAAATAAGGTAAATAATTTCGTAAAAGTTGAGGCAATAAGTATGATTGTGATTGTACTTTGAACACCTAAAATATTAATAAAAAATATATATAAAACAGAAATATTAGAGTAGTATTACACTTGTAGAATTGTTTTTTTATAATAGTTAGCAAATTGTTTATATAATGTTTTAATATAGTCATATAATTTATTCAAAAGCTGCTAATTTGTGGAAGCAACACGTAAGAACACTTTTTAACAATGTTCCTACGTGTATTTGCGTCTCTGTAGAGTTCCACGCGGTTAATAAGATAAATCTCTTTTTAAAAAATCACAATAAGGAACTTTTTTTTTAACAATTATTATATATTCTTAAATAACTTAAAAAAATAAATAGAACAAGCTATTTATAGATTTTAAAATAAGAGGAAAAAAATTTGATTTCAGAAAAAGTGCTCAACTATAGTTATTTTTTTAATACTTTGTAGCGATCCAAAATTTTAGCAATTAGTTCTAAATGGGTCAAACGCAAAGCTGGTTAAACATTCTAAAGAGACAACATTAAATTTTTAAACATTTCGCACGATATAAGCAAATTAGTTTCTTAAATAATCACGTTTCGTAGTTGACTGCTGGGAAGGAAAAGTTTGTTTTTTCCATCAGTTTTAATTTTTTTTTTAATCCTTGTCAATTATTTACTTAAACTAATTGGCCATTTTAGTAATTAAAAAAATGGCATCAAATAGTTAAAAAAATGTACTAAACTTCCTGTGGCGTAGCTGACTGCCAAATGTCGCAAATTTTGTTTTGTTTTTTCAATGCAATGAAATGTAGTATATTTTATAATCCAATATATTTTAATCTATACAATATTATAATCTATATAAATCCAATATATTTTAATCTATATAATTAATTTATATAATCCAAATATATTTTTAACTTCAAAACATTTATATTCAATTAAAACTTCAAAACAAAGTCATATAATCAATTTAAAAATATGAAATCATTCCAGGAACCAGTTGCTTAAAACTTTTAAATTACTTTAAAATTTATTTGCATTTGTATTTAAAATTTATTTATTGTTTACTTTTTTTATAACAGCCATCAAGATAAAAAAATAGAAAAGCACTGAATCAAAGGAATTACATGAGTATAAATCATGAAGAAAAAAAATACAATGCTGAAGAAAATGCTAGACTTCAAAGACAAAAGTGGAAAAACGATTTTTGAAAAATTGCAGCTGAAAGAACAAAAAGTTTATTGAGAATGAGAAAATCTTGACTGCGGCAAAAAGACGTTCATCTGTAGAATCAAATCACTCATCATTTTCAAATATGCAAATATAAGAAAAGTATGTGACAAAATTGAATAGCTCTCTTCCCAAAAGTCCTGTTCATAAAAAGGAACTGTTATGTTGTTTACTCAATGAAACTCAATCATTAACTTACTCAATTCAAAAAACAACAAACGATCTCAGAAGGAAAGACTTCGTGGTTATTAAAATTTAAATATAGAATCAGCGATTCAAAAAGACACAATAAAGGCTGCTACTGACTGACAAAATAAAGGCTGCTACTGACTGACACAATAAAGGCTGCTACTGACTGGTCAGAAAACTATACTTGTTTTTAGCAAAACGAAACGCATGCAGCTCATCAAATTTCTATTTTTACATGAGCAGTTTGGCATCGTCAAGTTAAATATTTTGCGCTAGTTTCTATACAAAGTTATCTGTTGTTCCAAACATAAATAAAATTATTGAGCTTCTATCAGACGATATAACAGAAGTTCATATTTTCAGTGACAACGCAACATCTCAATTCAAAAATAAGTATATTTTAGCATCACTGAAAATTTTAGAAGAAAAGCATACAATTAAACTGCATTGGCATTTTTTTACTGCAATGCATGGAAAAGGAGTTGTAGGTGGAATTAGACCCACAGCCAGAAAAAATGTTTTAACAGAAAAAAATATAAAGGAAAAGCGGGGCAACATGGCGAATGGGGCAAGATGGGTTTTCATATAACAACTCAACAAAAAATTTTAAAATTGGGTGAAAACGAAACTGTATTTGCATCTTGTATTTTAAAACACCGATTGGTTTTTTTTAAATATTATTAACGCAATTTTATACGCATAAGTTTACCGTAGAACGGGGTGACTTTGTTAGGATTTTGAGCATTTTTGCAAAATAAATCTGGTTCATTACAATTTTTTCTGATTTTTTTTTTCCCGTTATAACATTATACCTTTCCTTTATATAATTCCATTAAATATTTTTAATTTTTTTTTGTCTTAATATATATATTTTTAATCCAAAATGTTATCAATCTCACCCCGTCGTTTGGGGTGACTTTGATAGTCTATTATTTCTTAATGGCTTATTGATTTAACCCTCTTTACAGTGTCGCTAAGACTTTCTTTTTGACTTTTACTAAATTAGAACACAACATATTAATAAACTCATAAGATTTACTGGTAAAATTATAAATTTAGACAACAAGTTTGGTTATCGAATATATCTACAGAATGGACAAAGAAAAAACAAAAATAAATTTGATGTTAATATGCTAAACACAGAAAAATAATATATCAATAACATTGTTATAGTAATTAGCAGTTATAAAATAACACTAACAAAAAAATAATACTAATTGCATATAAATATTAAGTACTGATTTACCCTGATTTACACTGATTTTTCTGCAAATGTGATTGAGAGCAACCAAAAACGAGTGGTATATTCCAGTGGTATTATAACTGGAAAATACCACTTGAACATCTAAGTATAGATTTTTAGAAAAAAAAAATTTCAAAAAAATTAAAATCACAAGATTTTTTGGCATTTTTTGGTACGTGTAAAAATCATTATTTTTTTGTTATAGTCATGTTATTCCTAACACATTTGCACAATTTAGAATCACTTCACAATCATTAAAATTTGAAAAATATTAGCAGAATATAATTATGTACAAGAATAAAAAAAAAAATAGTCTCTAATTGTGCAATTTCACATTCAAATCATTATTTTTGTAACTAACAGACGAAATTATCAAAGTCACCCCGCGTATCAAAGTCACCCCGTTCTACGGTACTTCACTGATCTCAAAATATCTCAAATTATATTTTGAGATCAGTGGTTTCCTTAAAAAAAATTCCTCAGTTTCGGTTTCTCATAATGGATGGTGTCCTTCAAGTTTAACTTCTTTAGAAGTAGTTTTTTGCGACTTGTGTTTGTTTTATGTTACTTTAGTTAGAGTTAGTTTTTAAAATTTTATAAAATTGGTGGCAAAAATTGCATAATAAGTCATCTTGCGTCAGTTTTTATTTTAGTATTTATTTCAAATTGTGATATTTGCAAATTGAAAATTCATGCCGGCAAGTAATCATTTTAATAACATAAACATACTAAAAAGTATAATTGCTTTACGACTGATAGTTTTGCAATAACTCAGGGCTTTCAAAACGTTTGCCATGATGCCCCGCTTTCCCCTAATTTCTTGCGCTAGCGATTTAGCAATCGCTACAAACAATTTAAAAATTACTGTTATATTACTGAATAAAAAAGAAAAGCTATTAGTATAGTGTTTTATGTTTTAATCTAAATTATAATAAAAATTCGCATGTTGCGTAGCTGATAGTTGCGTAGCTGACTTCATGTTTTTATAAAAACTTGTTTTTGACTTGTAATTATTGTTATATTTAAAAAGTTTTATAAATAAAACTTGGAAAAAATAATTGTTAATGAAGAAAAAAAAAATCTTATGAAAATATAAATGATAGTTTAAGAGAAAAATTCCAAATTTTGATTAAAAAAAAAAGCTTTTTTGCGCGTTGCGTAGCTGACCACAGTCTTTTAGATCTATTTATGTTAAACTTTTTATTTATCTTGTTAAATTTAAAAAAAACTTGTAGCGCACCACAGTGGTCATTTTTGGGGTCAAAATCTGCAGAAAATCCCAAAAGTGTCATGAAAAGATTTTTTAAATTTATGGTATTCATCAAAAAATAGGATAGTTGGAGAGCCATAATATGAGGTTTAAGAGAAATTGAAGTAAAAATAGGTTGGCTATGAGTAGAACAACAGGAGGAAAAAAGTAGTGAAAAATTTACTGAAAAATGACTATTTTTAAAGTGGGTCTTAGAAAATAATGGGTGAAAATTTTCAAATTTTTGTTTAATAATTTTAGTAATACATATAAAAAAATATTAGAAAAGTAAAAAAAAAAAAATTTAAAAACTATATTGCTATGTATAGTAATGATTTTTTCAAACATCAGAAAAAAAGTGTACTACATGTCAAAAACAGTGCTGCAACTTTTTCCCAACAAATCCCAACAAATTGGGACCAAATCAGGTAAAAAGAGGAAATAAAGACCTTTAAAATGACACATGAAATTGTTGCGGGGAGTTGCGGGAGCTTATTTTATTGACTTTTAAAGTTCGCGCAAGTATGTGTGCGCGTGCGATCGTAATTGTCGGCGAGCGTAAAAATTCGAAATAATAAGCATCTTGCACTTTGGCTTGCGGAGTTTTGATACAATTTGCAACATTGGATATCGCCAAGATGTCAAAAAGTTCCATCTTCATATGAGCCCTGATGAAAAAAGACTGGTTGCAAATCGGGAGACACGAGTCAAGCAAGAATTTCGGGAGCAGCTGGGTCTAATTGTTGACCAGAGGCGGGATGGAGGTGCTGGGACTACAACAACAGGAAATGTTGCTCGCAAAGCTTTTCAAAACCCAGGTAGCTACACTTGCAAGTTTTGGTACTTTCACCAAACTTTTTGGGAAGCATTCAGAAATAATTTAGTTTTTAGATATTATGTCTTGTCAAGTTGCATGAGCATCACATCATAGCTTTGCTGTCAATTTGGAGAAATTCAAATCTTGATATCTGTATATTCCTACATATTTTCTTTCTTTTTTAGAAATTGTTGCAAGAATCTGTGATGTCCCTGTCAAACTGGTTGAAAATCTTGGAACACTCTGGTCTGCCCTTGCATCTGGATATGCCATTGATCCAGACAAGTTTGGAGTTCTGTGTGAAGAGACTGAGAAGATTTATTTTGACCATGTAAAATGGTACTGGTTGTCCCCAACAATTCACAAGGTTCTGAAACATGGAAAACAAATCATTGAAGCTTGTGTTCTTCCAATTGGAATGACCAATGAGGAACCAGGAGAGGCTAACAACAAATTTCTTCAAAAAATCCGTCTTTATCATGCTCGAAAATCATCCTGGCTCAATGGCATGTCTGACCTTTTCTTGAGACTGATGGACATCAGTGATCCAAAGATACAGGTAATTTTGGAATTAAGCATATCCAAAATTTTTCCAATTTCAATAATTTTTCATGCTTATTTAATTTAAATGATTTCTGAGACAGGACCTTTTTTCATTTGAATTTCCCAATTTAGCTTTGATAGCAATATTTTCTTTCATTCATTAAATGTTATATATAGTTTTTAGGCTTATGTCCACTGCAAGAAAAAGAAGCACAACTCAGAGATCTTGCCTGAACCCATCAAGAAACTCTTGAAGATGCCGGAACTTCAAATTTCTAGAGATGCCTCTGATTCAGAAGAAGAATAAAGAAGTCAAACAAAGCAACCAAAGCCTCTCATAAAAATTAAAAAAATTCTCATACATTCCCAATTTTGTTATTTATCTAATGTTATTAGTTTCAACCAGATCAAACAAAATTGATATGCTTAACTCTATGTAAAAAAATATTTTCTTTGATGTAAGCACTTATGTTGTGCCTAATATAACCAACTAGAACCTCATTTGTGTTAATTTTTTTTAGCAATACATTTAAAAACTGTCATACATGATGGGCAGGTTGGTAATCTCCCTGTGGGTATTCCTCATGCTTAAGTAAAAATGTTTTCTGCCATTATCATGTTTGATATGATATTTGTGTGAAATTTCTTCTATTTAATAAATCCATTTTGATCTTTAAGGTAATGAGACACATAATTCATTTTTGCAACCTAGCATTAATTGCAAAGTGTCAAATCTAACTTAAAAAAGTGAATATTTTATTTTTTAAAGCAATTTTTTGGGTTATTTATAATTTTTACTTCAAATATGTTCATACCGGCTCTTTTTGAACACATAAAAAATGTTTTAGATTTTCTGCAGGTTTTGACCCCCAAAATGACCACTGTGCGCACCTTGAGTTCTTGAGCTGACCAAGAACAGTACTTTATTCTACAGTTATTACGTCGGTACACCAAGCGTTGTTATACCGTAAATCGGGGCTTACTTTACTTATCATCGGGGGTTACTTAGTACCACTTTTTAAGAGTTTTTGTAGTTACCGAGCTCTATAGCGGATTTTTTTAAAATTATTTGGTTTTTTCTTGTTAGTTGGGCCTTTATCTTCAATCTTCAGAATAAATTTTGAATGGTACTGCCATTTTAAGTGTTGCATTTTTATTATTTCTGTAAGCCATTTTTTTTACCATATTATTTGTCCTTTAAAAGGGAGGTGTTTCTACACAAGATCTATATCAATTTATAATAAGTTTAGTTTTTTTATACGAAAAAATCATCTGTAGTTTAAATTATGCAAAAAAAAAAAAAAAAAAAAAAAAAAAAATTTTATTTAAGCTATTACTTGTTAAAAATAATTTGGGTGTCTAATTTTGACCAAAAATACTTTGCACCAGTTAAGAGAATCGTGAAAAAAACCTCAGACTATTATTTAATTACATTTAATGGTTTTAAACGTTGCTAACAGATACACATTATTTTTAACAATGGTAAGGCATTACAAAAGAAAGTTAGGAGCTTGTTGTTACAAAAGTTATTTAACTAAACATAAAAATTTGATGAGACAAGGTAAGCAACCTATATTTTTAAAACTTGAAGCTTCAAGTTTTAAAAATATAGGTTGCTTACCTTGTCTCATCAAATTTTTATGTTTTCGAAGACAAGTCATTTGTTTCATATATTAAAGCCATGAGTGATTTTGGTTTTCCATTGACTCAGAGAGATTTGAAATTTACAGTGAGTTGCTACTTAAACAAAATAAATAGAAAAGTTAAACAATTTTAAAATAATGTTTCTGGCGTATTAGGTAAAAACCTTCTTAAGACAATACCCTAGTCTAAAGAAACTTTGCAACAAATACCAAATGTTGCAGAGCTGTAATAAATGAGGAAATTATACAAGTATACATTAAAAATTTAAAGGGGGGTTGTGAAAAATGTATTTGCAGAAATCGTATGAAATCTTGATAAATCTAACTTAACTAATGATCTTAGAAACAGAAAAGTGTTATGTCGAAGAAATATTAAGTATCCAAAGTTTGTAATTTTTGTAAGTCAAGCATTTCCTTAATGATGCAGGGTACCACTTTTGTTTTGTTTAAGGCCTTCCAAAAGTGCAATATATGAACAGAAGGAGACCCAAAAATTGTCGCTTCTAAAGTGCTAAATCAGATTGCTTTGATTTACTGAAAAAACTGAAAAAGTTAATAGATAAAAAGGTGCCAGAGTTATTTTATTTAAGAAAAAATGGTTTACTTATTTAAATAAGTGTTTCATGAAATTCCTAAACTAAACCTTATACTTAAATCTGTACCTCAGAAGTCAAAGGTGGGTTGTCACATTTTAGAAATTGTTCAGGAGAGAGGAAATTGTAAAATAATTAGTCTATATATCAAATAAATAAAATCTTTAAAAAAGAGTAATTAAAACCAAAGACATGAAACAAACTTTAGTTTAGCATAAATAAAAGAAATCGTTAAAATAAATATTTAAAAACATATTTTATTAGGCAATATTTTCGAAATGGACTAAAAAGTAAAAAAAAAATGAATATATAAAAAAAACTTTCAATGTTTCACATTGTCGTAGGACAATAGTCTTTATACCTCTGTTTAGATACTGAAAAAATTAAAAAGGTCTCATACATAACTCATTTTTGCAAAAAACTGGACAACCGACCTTTGTCTTCTACAGAAATAAAGTTTCTGGGCAAGACTTTTTTTTTTTTAGTTTTAAAACCATATTTTTTAGCTACATAAAATATTTTTATGTAGCTAAAAATATGGTTTTAAAACTAAAAAAAAATTTCATTAAGCAAATTTTTTATTATCCTTAAATTTAACTGTAGTAAAATAACCATTAAATATGGAGTAAAGTAAAAATGGAGTAAAGTAAAAATGGAGTAATAGTAATGGAGTAGGTTGATAGTACTATGTTGTTATTACAATGATTGTAAAGTATAAATGAAGATAATAATCAAAATATATATGTTTTTAAACATGGTTCTAACAGTTGTATTTTTTATATAATTTAACAACTATATTTCATTATAGTTTTTATAGTTGTTTCTTATTATAATTATTTTAAGAATAAATTCAAGAGTACATCATTAAGTTCTTATGATAAGATGATAATGCTGATCTTCTTGGAATTATTTGGTCAAATTTAAGCAAGCAGTCGGTTTGTTGCCTATATGTTAATAACATACTTAGGTGTTTTTTGTTTTTCAAAGTCATACAATGCACCAAATTTTATTCTCTATTAAAAATTTCAAGGCTTGTTTGTTGTTGCTTATTAATGTTTTATAAATATATATTACATTTTTTTATATTTAAAATAATTTTTTAAATGTAAATTATTTTTTTAATTTTTTAAATATAAATTTTATTTTTTTAATATATATTTTCAATATATTTTTTTTGGTAAACTAGGTTCTATTTTATTAACTATACAAAATATGGTCAAAATCAAAGTTTACTATTAATTTATTATTATTATTTAAAATATTTATTTCATCCATATTTTGCTTATTTACTAAAATACATTATTTTAATGGTGTATTGTTTTTATTTTATAATGCTGAATAGAATTAATGTTTAACAGATCTATTTATTTTTTTCCAGCTAGAATAACATGACTATCAAAACCATTATAATGTTTTCTCTTTCTGGACCATTTGCTGTTGCTTTTGCTAATAAAGCTAGAGGATGGCACATTCTTAGAAGTATATTTTATATTAAAATTTTTTAAAGATATGTATTTATTTATTTATGGTAATTGTTATCCAAAGAGAAAAGCATTAAAAGCCTTAAGAGTTTTTAGGCTTTGTACTGCAAAACCTAATCACAATTCAAAATAATGAGGGTTTTACATGCTTGATTTTATAGTATTTTTTTTTACAAAAATTATATAAAAAGTGCAAATTTCTGCAGCCAAAACTTAATGGTCAATCTATCTAACTAATAATCAAATACAAAATTGAACAAATGCAAATTGAATTTGTGCTTGCTTAAACTCATGCAGGTTAACAATTAAACAGGCCTTCTCGTAAGAGGCGTGCGATCTTATGCATTATATGCATGGTCATGTAAGGCGTGCCTTACATGACCATGCATATAATTCTATGTTTTAATAACTTGACCATGGCTCTTTGCAAGTTTTGATAATTAGCGCATTTTAAAAAAGCGTTAAAAAAAACAAATGTCATTTTTAATTTAATTTATTCCATAATTAAAATTAAACTCCCACAAAATTTCCTTAGTACTTTAATGCAACTTAATTAAAGGCAATCATTGAAAAAAATATTCAGATTAGAGTTTAAGGCAAAATGAGTACAGAAGCTATCAAAAAATAATTACAAACCATTTTATCATGGAAATATAATTTCTAATTAAGAAATTATTTACTAAAAAAATGGAATTACAATAATCTTGAAACAATCGTGCCAACTATTTTTTATCCCAGAGCGTGACATATCGTTTTTTTTTTTAATGAATGTTGACTTGCATATCTTTATTTATTGACGAACGTCTAATTTAAGAGATTTATGTCAAATAAAATTCAAATAATTTTTATTTTAGTTAATAAGTTATTAAACATATCAAAGATGCTTGGTAAATTTATTCAATTTTTATTTTTCAAAAACCTTTTTTGAAGTTTTTGCAAAAACATTCATATTAAGTAAAATTATGTATGCATTTGTGAGCGCATGCAAAAACCATGCTAAAACATAATTAATTTTTCTATAGCGTATTTAGTTATTTTACTTAAAAGTGACGCTATTGAAAAAAGTACTTATGTTTTGGCATTAATTCAAGTCTGTGAATTTAATTGTTTTTAATATTAAATATGTGTTTTTTATAATAAATAAAAAACTAATGATCGCAAAATTATTTTGAAAAAAATTGCTGAAGTGTTACGTTCGTTTTGAAAAATCCTAATCAAACGGCAACGTTTGCATAAGCAAAATTAAAGAAAGGTGATGTTTGTTTTTCTGTCTGTCTTTTAAGAAATGCCTGCACATTTGTCGATTTGTCGCACCTTGTATCCTATTAATTTTTTAATAACATTTTAAACTTGCACCACAAAATTTTATTAAATTTCATGGCACTTTTAAACAGCCTAAGTTAATTACGTTTTTAAACATCAATTTTTTAAAAAAATAAATAAAAAATCTGAGGGGAGGGGAGATCCTTTCCCTCACAATGGATTCGCCCTTATATTAGCCTAATTATTCATGGGAAGAAATGATAAAGATTATTAGAGCTGTTTACAATTAAGTTTACATTAATTAATAGATGTTTTGATTTTTTTTTTCTGGTTTTTACTTTATATATTTTATCATTCTTTAAATATTTTATTTTTTTAAGTTAATTTTTGTATTATATATTATTTTAAGGATTTTATTCTCTTTTCAGTTTATGGATTGTTTATTTTAATTTTAATTTGCTTTGTTTTTTTTTAGCGCATTTTTTAAACGCGCTAATTATCAAAACTTGTAAAGAGCCGTGATCAAGTTGTTAAAACAAAGAATTTTATGCATGGTCATATAAGGCGTGCGATCGCACGCTTCTTACGAAAAGGGTGCGATCGCATGTCTTATATGACCATGCATAAAAGTGCGATATATATATATATATTTATATATTCTTAAAAGAATATATGAATATATATATATATATATATATATATATATATATATATATATATATATATTTATATTTATATACATATATATATCATCGTCATCCTGATTGAGAACCACATCACCATTTCTCAACTCCTGTCGAACCCTAGCCTTACTTATTTCGAATGACTCTCTGATTTTCCGAGTTTGATATTCTGGGGCTACAGATAATGTTTTGGGGTGCAACCAATCAAACTTACTATGGCATGTTTTAGAATGTTCAGTTGCACCTGAACTGGACTATTTTTCTTTTAAGTTGTTTTTCTGGTGTTCAATACATCTCGATATCACCTTCTTTTTAGTTTTGCCAATGTATATTGAACCGCATGAACATTTTAGCTGGTATATGCCAGGGTCTGTGTTTAGTGATAGTTTAGTTTTATTGTTGCAAAAAAATATTTTTCAAATATTTATAATATAGCTATGCTTTATAATAGCATAGCTTCAGACAAAAATATTTTAAAGAATGTAGCAAATAAATTTTGTGTAGTAAATTAAGTTTATAGCAAATTTATGAATTAGTGATTTTTTAGTTTTGAAGTTGTGTTTTTTTTTTTACAAAAAAAATGGTCATAGTTTATTTATTAAATTTTATTTGGTTTTCCAGATTGCTCATAGAAAGAACGTCGTTTAGAAATACAAGTTTAGTTTATGTGCTGTAGACAAAGATTTTGTTTAAAACGGCAAGTTGTTTAACAAAATGAGTAGACAGTTTACACCTGGTTGTTTAACCTCTATGAGAAATAAGCATTTAATTCTTCAATAGTAGGGGTGGTGTTTTTCAATATTTAATTGTAGTACAGTATGAACTTGTAACTATATGTAAATTGATGGAGGAAAAACAAAAGTTAAAAATACTAAAAATAGTTTTTTTTTCCTTTTATATAAAGATTGTTTCCGCGCAATGGCGTCTTATTGTCTTATTGAAGTATTTTCATAATTTACTCATTATCAGAATTTTCTGTCCAATCATCATCAGAAATATTGCTTAAGTTAATATTAGAAATCAAGTTTTCTTGATCAAAAGATTCAGTGTCAGAAGAAACAAGGGTTTGCAAAAAATTATAAAATAATATTTAATGAATATTAAATATTTTTTACATGTATTTCAATTTGCATGCCGACACTTTAAGATATTCAAATCAGCAGTTGTATGCTGTCCTAAAGCAAATATAGGTTGGCTTTTGCTTCAGCAATGCCGAATGCCAACCTGAATTTCGCTGACTGTATATGTATATATATATATATATAAGAAATATCAAAATAATTATATATTAAAGAAAAAATATATATATATTTAAAAAACGTTTATAGGCAGCCGTATTTATTGAATTCTTACCATTTATATATACATATATATATACATACATTGTTTTTTTTGACAAGGTTAAATAAAAAATAACTACATAATTTTTACAACTAAAAGTTTCTGATGATTGCTAAACATCCGTTTAGCAATCATCAGGTAAAAAATACATGAATACATGCGTTTTTTTCATGCGTTTTTTTTTCAAGTAAAAAATACAAAAATACTTCATAATATATATATGAGGTGTGTTCAAAAATTAAGGTGACTTTTCAAATTTCGCAGGCAACGTACTTTCGATTATAAATTTTTTCGTTTTGTCATGTTGGTACACTCTTCCCGAACATCTGTACCAAATTTCATGTGTATAGTATTTTTTGTTTGATTGTGAGAGGCGTAAAGGTTATAAGTGTTTTGCGTGCTCGGCGATTTTTTGCTGTTAAAAAATATGGATCAAAGGATTTGCATCAAATTTTGTGTAAAAAATAAAAAAAAGTTCTTCAAAACACTTAAAACGTTGACAGTGGCAAACGGTGAAACTGCCAGATGACGAGCCTTGCTCTGGACGCCCAACCACGTCAACAACTGATGAAAACGTTCAAGCAGTGAAGAAAATTGTTTTGGAAAATTGTCGAATCACTATCAGAGAAGTTGCTGAGGATGTTGGTATATCGCTTGGCTCGTGCCATAAAATTTTTCTAACGTTTTGAACATAAGATGTGTGTCAGCGAAGTTTGTTCCAAAATTGCTCAATTTTGACCAAAAGAACCGTCGCATGAGCATCGCTCAAGAACTGTTGAATGACGTCAACGATGACCCAGATTTACTCAAAAGGGTCATAACTGGTGACGACTCATTCATATATCAGGCCTTGCGATGAATAAGAACTGCGTGACGCATAAGCACGACGTGATTTTTGACGTCATTAAATTCTTTTTATTTGCTTTTCATATTTATCAACATTAACTTCACCAATTTACTTAATTACCGCAAAACTACTTTAAATCGTTTATGTTATTATTTAAAAATGTTTTGGAATGTTTCGTTTTTTAAAATGTAAAAACATTTGTTTATTTTCTCGACGTTTGTCACGTTTTGTCTATACTAAACGAATAAAAAACATTTTAACTTAAATTTAAAAAAGATTATAAAATATGCTAATATTTAATTTTTTTTCTCGTAATAATAAAAAACTTAAACGAACGTTTTGAATAGATTTTTAATGTTAACAAGGAATTTTATTTCTAGTAAAATAAAATAAAATGTTAGAATAAAAATTTTATAGGTATAAAAAAAATATTTCAGCGAAAAAATTATTCTTAAAAATTAGTATTAAAAATTATTCGAAAAACTATTGACGTTTTATTTTTCAGCAGCTGTTCTTGAGCACGCTTCGTTGAGTTTCGGTAACTTTTAACATAAAAGCGATCGTTATTATTTAAGTAATTTTTTTGAGTTACTTTTTACAAAAATTTTAATAACAGCACTTTTTTATTGAATCAAGTAGAATACGTTTTAATATTAATCCTTTTTTTTTTTTTTATTTGCGCTCACCAATTTTTAAAATGTTTCCTCGAAATTACTCTTAAATACTTTAAATACGTCTAACAGTTAATAAATATTTTTAAATCTATGGAACAATTTTAAAACCTAACAAACCCCCGTAAAATAATTATTTAAGTTTAAAATCTAAAACTAAAAGAAAGTATTTTTGTTCAATTTTATCGACAACTTTGCTATTGCTAAATAATTTTATTAAAATGTTACCTTAAAATATTTAAACTTTTTTTTTAATCTGAATTTTTTCTACTTGTAAATAATGAGCATATTTAATTTTTTTTAATTCAAACTTTTATTTCAACTGCATGCGGTTTTTAAAATACTTTATTAAATGTTAAAATAATCGTAAATTACTTCATTAAAATTCCGCTCAAAAATATCTTTAAATATACTCAAACAAAAAATTTTTTGCTCGACGCAAATAGCCCTAGCTACACGCAAAATCGCTCTTGGACGACGTAAAATTCACATCGCCTGACGCTTTATCGCAAGGCCTGATATATGGTTATGATATTGAAACCAAAGCCCAATTGTCCCAATAGAAGAGCCCAGGTGAGCCAAGACCAAGTTCGATAAAATGTCAAAGTTTTGCTCACTGTTTTTTTCGATTACCATGGAGTGGTGCATC